ATGAAATGTAGTTTACTTTGAGATACCCCTTTATTTAAAAAAAACCCAAACAATAGATGCAGCCTTCAAACACATGGAAATCTGCCATGTGTCTTTTTAGTGTTACAAATGCAGGCATGGACTCTGTAGTTTCAAATCTGTAACTGCAAAAGGATATACTCACCCCACATACCCACATATATGATACACCTCTCCTTAGACAATGTTTTTATTGAAGCTTATTTCTCAAAGCTTTTATATATGACTGCTGTCCTTTTCTACCTGTGCACTAGCTGTAACATCTTCTCGTTCTTGACTGGTCATTGTCTCTAAAGCATCCATTTTGTCTTTCTCACAGGGATCTTGTAGTCCAGGTCCATCTGAACATAAGGGATAAGAAAGACACCATGATACCAATAAATTTACTGTGGCCAGGTTTAAAAAGGGAAACTAATGAAAAAAAATACATGTTATCAATTCCTAGCTGTGCTGCTAGTTACGGTTCATCACTGACACACCTCTTCCCTAGTTTTGCTGTTTGGTTACATTTTGTGTCATATGTCTTATGCAAGAAAAGTTGGTTTCACCTTGGGATTCTCAGGGACTGGCACGATGTTGCTATACAAAGGTTTAAACTGAAATATTTTTCCAATGATATTTTTTACAAGTTTTAATGAAAATCATATTAAGTTCTGGAGAGTTTAGGGAGCAGTTAGTGAGGGGCAAAATTGCTGAAATCTTTTCAAGGACTCCAAGTATCAACTCCTCTTTCTGAAAAAAAGCAAAGCTACCAATATGTCTGAGTTACAGGTACCATGCTGTAGACAAAGCAGTGTACCAATATACTGCATTTCCACTGTCATGCCACAACGTCAGTTAAACAGGAAACCATAAAAGATAAGGTATGGGATGTGAGATGTTAATACAAAGGACATGAACTGCTATCCCAGAGATTTTATGGAGAACAAATATAAACATTAGTTGAAAACGGACCCATCAAGAGTGTTCCTGTGGCTACACATTCGAGAACTCGTCGCATGGCATCACCAGGTCTTAGACGGCTTGATGCGCTGCTTAAAACCTTTTCTACAAGAAGTTCCATTGCCTGCAGAGAAGATGAAACAAAGCTTGATTCTTTCATTAAGAAAACACAAGCAAAGCAACTATGACTTTTCTAAAAAACAGTCATGCTGTATCCTCCACAAAAGGCTGGTTTTCTCACCATCCACAGGGAGCAGAAAATGAGCAGGCTCAGCTCCCAAGCTGCTGCTACTCAGATACTTATTACAAGGAAAGATCTTTTTTTCTTCATTTTGCCTTTCAAAAACATTGTATGCCAAAAAAACACTGTATTAATGATTCTCCCTGTCCCCCAAAAGGTGAGGCACTGCAGGCATCTACCTCCAGGGTGATGGTTATCTGTCCACTCCAGACTCTAGAATAACTAATATCAGTGCATAAACCCATGTAAATGACAATGGCATAACTGTTTCATATTTTCATAGATGTAGGGTCAGAAGGGACCTGAGTAGATCATCAGGTCTGACCCCCTGCCCTGGGCAGGAGTGAATACTGGGCTCATATGACCCCAGCTAGGTAATTATCAAGCTTCCTCTTAAAGACCCCCAAGGTAGGAGCCAGCACCACTTCCCTCGGAAGTTGGTTCCAGATCCTGGCCGCCCTGACTTTGAAGTAGTGTTTTCTAATGTCCACCCTGTATCTGCACCCCATGAAAATATGTCAGCTCCTGGAAAATCCCCTTGCTTGCCTACTCATAGTGCAGTAGGGCTGGAGTGTTGTAGCTGTTTGGTCTAGGAATTATGCAAGAAGAAAGGCTGCTTTGGTGATATCTTTTATGGGACTAACTGAATAGTTGAGAGAGCTGTTGGACAAACTTTTGGGAACAAACTGCCCTTCCTTAGGTCCTGACTGGCACTCTTCCAAAAGTTTTTCATCATGTTTGTGTAATCATATGTTAAACACAAGTCTAATACTACCACCTCATGCTTTAACATGTGAAGACATATAATGAGACAGTCTCAGTCCTACAGTTAACACAAACTTCCAGCTGTAGGGATAATGGTGAAAGAAAGGGTGCTCATTGTAAAGAAGACAAATGTGCTTCTGTCTCAAGAAAGCAAACTGTTTCTCTACCAGTGGCTTACTGAATGTGGCCATTTAGAAGGGTTGGAGGCTGCTATTTAAGCACTAGCAAAGTTTCTTTCCCAAGCTAGCTCTCATTTTTCCTGAGAATTATACTTTTTGGGCCAGATCCAAGGCAGCATTTTGGTACTGATGCTCCCATGGAAACCCCAGTGAAAGGGATTTTAAGTACCTAAATAGGATCTAAGAACTGGGAATGCCTGCTTGGATCTGTCTCTCAGTTCACTGAGGCCATCCACAATGCCAGGGCACTGCAGGAACAGCCCTTTAGAAGACAGTTTTGTAACCATAATTGTATAGTTTACAGGAAAAAAATAATAAAGTCCAGGTGGTAAAGAGTTTCGACAGTAATAAAATTCTCCACTGCGTGTTTATTTACTTAACAGGAACAGGATTCCCAAACGTGTTCTGTAGGAAGTAAGTGTGCGTCTATGGAGTACCTAGCTGATTTGGTGTTTTATGGTATTTTTTTTAAGAACAGTATAATGCATTTTAATTGCAACGGATTTAGTTATGGTAGGATCTTGAGCCCTAAACACACATCTGACTTCTCATTGTTTACAGTCATGCTGTTGGGGATTGTACATATTAAGACACAATGATAACCAAAACAAAGGGGGTGACAGAAGAGCCATCACTCTCCTTACCCAGTCTGGTAGTGCCCCCCAGGTTGGTACACGCTGGCATAGGTCTCTCAGAATTCTGATGATAATTACACAAGACTGCAGTCCATTAGCTCTAGCCTTTATGAAAAGAAACAAGATGTCTGCTAATAGAAAACACATAAGACAATAAAAGCCCAAGTCATCAAAACAACAAGACAAAAGTATTAACTCTATTAGACCATAAAACCTAGATATCAGACATTTCTTAAAGACCTTAGATCTTAAATAACTAGGCTGTTACAAAGAGAAACACTCTCTGGACATCTGCTCTATTGAAAAGATGTAATAGAGCACTGTCATTCCAAATACTGCTATGGTAGAACACAAAAGCAAAGACGACAAGAATCTGTAACACAGCAAGCTGTGTAATCACAGGAAGACAAAAAGGGCTTCGGGCAAACAGCACACCTCCCAAGACAGTCTTTTGGTCCACAGGATTTGCTTTTACCAATTGCATTAAAAAAGCAATGGTCTCCTTTATACTCTGGAAATATTTCTATCTGAATGCACTGTGTGGAGGTCAGAACATGTGTGTTTGGACGTCCTAATTATGTTGCTTTCACTTTAGACAAACACGGTCAGCTTAGCAGCGCAAAACTGCATCTTTTCTACCTTCTCTTTCTCTCCCTCCCCTTTGTCAAACTAGTAAATCCATGTAGTAAACTGCACAACACATCTCAACGAATTTGTGCCAACTTGGAAAAGCTCTTTACCTGGAACCATTTAGCATGACGGAGGGCAGCCAACGATTCTAGACATTTATGCTGGCTCAAAACATCACAGGGGTCAGGCTGCGATTCTGTTGCGGCTTCTAAGAGAGAAAAATACATTTCCTTTTCATAATTTATTCCCACATGTTCATGACCCAGAGGCATGAAAAGACCACAGGATAAACAATGTATTTTTTTAATGTTATTTTAATATGTATTATTTTAATTTGTATTAAAAGATTTTACATTTGTGGCACTGTTATTAATTTTTTCTAATGTAACAGGATCAAAACAGCATCACAATGCATAGATAGAAATCACACCCAAAGACTTAACAGTGAATGCAGAAAAGATGGTGACTGGAGAGTATGGTCTCCACTAGTAGGTAACAGTGTTTTAAAACTAATGTTTTAAAACTAGCAAATCTTGAATATAACTAACTCCAACCAGCATTCCCAGGAGGTTTAGGAAAATTTTAAAAATTTAAGAGAATTTTAGGAAAATTCCACTTTTTGGTCTGAGAAAGTACTGTGAAAATACTCTGAGGGTGCATCTATACAAGACATTTCCTGTAGTTGCCTAATTAGCTCCACAGTAAAGTCTCTGCATCTACATGCATGACCCATCTAGGTCACAGTAAACTAATAGACACCACCATAGATTAGTACTTGTAAATACAAGTACTATCCTGCAGTGGTGTTATATATTACACAGCAATGCACATGCAGAC